AAATTTTTATTGACAATTCTAACAAAGTAGTATGCTATACAATCAGCTAAAAATCGAAAATTATCATCGTAACCTTTCGACTCATATAAAGTTTTAAGCATTTTTAGAAATGAAAATTTGTTTTATTACGTTAACCGTAACCTCAACCTTTCATATCAGGATATTTTTTATAACTCTTAAGCCTAATATTTCACTCAACACCCGTTCCCACAAGACCACCTAGGTGATAACGATGCATTGTTCACGATTTTTAATGAAATCTGATCCTTGTTAAACCACCCCCTTCCAGACTTCTTCAGTAAATAAATTCTTCTGAACAGTGTAAAAACAGCCATCTCGAGTATTAATTTTCAGCGCCATCATTTTCGAGATGATACTAAGTTTCCGTTTTCCTTAAGTCTAGAACATTAGAAACTACTTTTATATTTCTATAATATATTACTTTGTTGGAATACCTCTACAGTAGTGGTAATTTTGATTGTTATAAAATACATTAAAATGAAATCTTAAAAAGCTTTACTTAACTGAACTATCGTACATTGTTTTGATCTTTCACTAGCCAAAAACGTTAACTACTGTAAGGCCGTTTGTTATTTGAGTAGATGTTACCGCTTAGGTGTAGAAATAAGTTATTCAATAGATTATCTAGCTAATATCTATCTAGATCAGGGGTTTCCAACTTACATGAGGCCGGGGGTCACAATTAAAAACACAAATCGAATGGCGGGCCGCAACTTTATAAAAATTTTACGTAGGACTTTTTTATGTTTGAAGGAACATTAAATATTACTGTCAGATTTTTACCAAGTTGTACAAAACAAAAGTATTCAATTACAAATTAAAATAAGAAGTAGATTTTTTAAATATTTAATTGCATATTAAAAAATTCGGGCTACAATAACTTTATTGTGCACCTATGCATTAAACAATTAATGTGCAACAGATATCTAATTATTAAGATATAAAACTTAAAAAAGGTTGCTATTAAAACTTACATAGTAGCACACAAAATGTTCAGTGAGAAAACTGAGGTTTGTCTGCTGCAACCACCAGAGAATAGATANCATTAAATATTACTGTCAGATTTTTACCAAGTTGAACAAAACAAAAGTATTCAATTACAAATTAAAATAAGAAGTAGATTTTTTAAAATATTTAATTGCATATTAAAAAATTCGGGCTAAAATAACTTAATTGTGCACCTATGTATTAAACAATTAATGTGCAACAGATATCTAATTATTAAGATATAAAACTTTAAAAAGGTTGCTATTAAAACTTACACAGTAGCACACAAAATGTTCAGTGAGAAAATTGAGGTTTGTCTGCTGCAACCACCAGAGAATAGATAGTTACATTTTAAATTTAAAATTTGCAAATGTGTGTGAAAATATTTTCGTCCAAAATGAGTGGTTTTAAAAAGTTAAAGCGGAGAATTTCTTCGAGAAAATTTCTGCTATACACATGCTAAATTATATTCACAAAATGCAAAAAAATGAAATTAAAAAGAGCAACATGCGCGATTATTTTTGTATTTGAATAAATATTTTCTTGAAAGCAAAACCTGAGAAATAAATTTCTTTGCACCGTTGGTATGTTATAAATTTCACAGAAACGAAAAAATTAGGTTTTTATTAACGAGAAAAGTATTTTAAACTCATACAGTTTTTTTTACGAAAATTGGCCGCAAAAAAATGACAACTAATATATTTTAGTTCTCGGGCCACAAAAAAAAAAAAAATATTTGCTAACCGGATGCGGCCCCCGGGTCGCCAGTTGGAAACCACTGATCTAGATTAACAAGATAGTTATCCATTAAAGTGCTAAAAAATTGCTTCATTTCTAAGATTACTTAGTTAATCTGTCAATGACTTAGATAATCTACACATTACCGACTAAGCAATCTTTAAAGTGAAAATAAGATATTCGCTAGAACAACAACAACGTTTCTGTAAGTTTAAATTAACATAATTTTACTCATTTTTCGATATCTAAAAAGTTAAGAAACAAAATTATTATTCTATTAAGTTATTAAAAATTATTCTGAAAAATTATCAAGCAATCAGCATTTAAAAACCTGTAACACAAATGGCTTAAAATATTTTTGCATCGAAGGAAATTAGCAGAATATAATGTATTTATCTTTCAATATGTGAAGAATCAAGTCTATACAATGAAACAAACAACAAATTAATTAATAGAATGAGAGAAACTTTGAAACGAAACGGAGAACGTTTATGTGCACATTATACAATGCGGTAAATTACGGAAAACATTTGATTTCGCACTTAAGCGGATTAATTTAATTAATCTGCTCTGCAGATTAAATAGGTAATGTGCATATTAACGGCTTTATGATCTTTAATGTTTTTTTTTTATAGAGTTAACATAATATTCATATAGAGTTATTTTATAGAGTTAACATATATAACATATTAGGGAGACCGGAAAGTAATGTCGTTTCGGCACATTAAATATTAGTTAGTCTTAAAAACCAATTCATTTTTTTTTCCGATCAATTTCGATTCATTTTCGATCCGGCATTTGCTAACGAGAGTGAATACATTATTGATTAAAAATAAAATCTTGATAACAAATATCAAATGCATCGAAACGACATTACTTTCCGGTTCCCCTAACAAATACTGTTATTCATATATAAAGTTAAATAAAATATTTATTAGAAGTATGGGTGGATATTCATGAAATAACTAGTAATATTAATTCGATTCACTTTAAATGTAATTGAGTATTTGTATTTTGAATTAAAAGGCTTATTTTTTAATGCAATTCTAATAAATTTATTATTTTAGCAATAGGAGCTAATAGCAACTTTCAAAGAAGAGCAAAAATTACAATAATATAATTTTTTTTTAAATACTTTGAAATAAAAGTTATTATGAAAAGTAATCATGAAGCTGATCGGAAAATAGGATTTCGTGAAATGAAAGATTATCAATCTTTCTTTTATAGCTAAAAGTTAGCTTTCATGTTAAAAAACCGAGGTTGTGATTTAAAAAAAATCAAATAGTTTATTCGGGAACATTGAATTAAATAACGTTAACACCACCCTGTGGAAGAACGGAAGACCATGATTTACGCCTATGTAGGCACAAAAATATTAAAACAAACCACATTTATAGTTTAATAATTTTAATTGTAATGAAAAAGTTTTCACAATATATCAGAAAATGGGAAATCTGAAGAAATTTAAATAATAAAAATTTATTTACATTCTATGACAGTAAATAAAGAGTGAATAATCCAATAAAGAGTAAAGAGTTGTGAATTCATCAAAAAGTTTGCGTTGCATAATTTTAATGTGAAACTAGTTACTGGTACAAAGTCATTATTGATACAAAATTATTGTTGACAAATTTCTAAGAAATGCTTTTTCTCATTAAATTTTATTCATTTTTTTAAATTATTCAAAAGGTACTAATATTTGATCAATAACTCTTATTTTAAATCGCGTCTTTTAAAGCCATTAAAAAATTGAATTAAATTTCGTAAATTTCATAATTTCAACTTTTTTTTCTAACATTCATATTTTACTGTATAATTAAAATCGATTTTTACTTCAAATTCTATTTTGATATTCTTTCTCTAGTGTTGTTAATACCATTATGAACAAAATGTACGAATAGTTTTAGTGCTGCCATCTATATTTAACAATACAATTTACACTGTACCCCGAGGCAGAAAGACTCCTTAATGTGTACTGCTTCATACTAATTCCTTGGATAACGGGTATGCAAAGGATATCATGTATTCGGGCAAGCGGTAAATAGGACAAATATAAATTTGATTTTAATTCATCAAAATTATAATTTTGATTGTAAAGAACTATTTTTAACTCTCTCTATTAATAATTCTTATACAAGAACAAAAGTTTGTAAAGATGTATACTTCAGATTATTGTAGAAGTAAATTTCTTGTTTTTCCTTAAAAATTCGGCAAAAATAAAATTTTGATTGTAGGGGACTAATTTTTAATTTTCAATTAAAATTTTTTATAGCTATTGAAATTTCTTACACAAAAACTAGAAAATTCTTATAAAAAAAGAACAATTAAAAATTCGTATAAAATAAAAGAAATATTAAAAATTCTTTAACAAACACATGTTTTGTAAACATGTAGACTTCAAAACATTACAGAAGTAACCTTCTTGACATTCTTTAAAAATAATTTAATTGTAAAAAACTATTTTTAATTCTATTTCAAAAATCCTTATAAAAAATCTTATACAAGAACATATTTAGTAAACATGTTCTTTTATAAGAATTTTCCTTTATTTTCCCAAAATAGTTTCCCAATTAAGATATATTTCTTTTTTATTATTATTATTACTATTTTTAATATTCTCCTGCTTCAAATTCTCAAAATTTATGGATTCCATTTAACATTATACTAGGATGAACTTCGATCACAAAAAATGCTACGTTTCACTGCTATTAATAGATAAGCTGGATCTAATCAAAATGGTTAAATAGATAAGCTGGACTCACGTCCGTGAGAATGGCAGTTCGAATCCAGCCGGCTGAAGACTCCCCATGTAGTAAATGGTGATTGGTGCACGTTAAATCTGTCTGGTTACCGAGTCCTCCGCTTTCCCATAACAAATCAATACCTCTGGGAGTACAGAATTGGAGATTGATCGTTCTCTAGTTCAGGTCAAAATTACGATCTTTGGGTGAATGAATGGATGTATGAATGGGTCCACCCTTTAAACGGGTGTGACGTATGGGTGTGGCAGAAGTCGAATTCTTGGCCATAGATAACACCCCTCTACCTTAATGGCCGACGACAACAACAACAACAACTCAATTTTAGGGATTTTTTAAAAATTTTCAAAAACCAGGAGAATTTTTATTAAACCAGTAGATCAGGAGAAACTGGGAAAATCCAGTAGAGTTGATAGCTATGTATTGTGTATCATTATATCAATTTAAACTTATTCATTTAGTTTAAATCTCTCAATATTTTATTTCTTTGAACAGGGAGTTAAAATTAAGATGGATGATGCTGGAAATATCATAATTAAACGAGCTAGCAAGAGTGTAGCTTTCGTGAAAAACGTTAACGGCCCTGAAGATAGTTGCCTGTCTTCTGATGTTCAAAGGTTACAAGGACAACTGGAATTAGAGAAACCAGTAAAAGTGAGATCTTTTACAGCCTATATTTTATCGATTGTTCATTGTTTAGTTTCCTAACCAAGCTGACTTATATTTACTTAATTACTTATGCAATGAAAACACTTTTTTTTATTTGACTTCTTCAACTTTACCTAGCTTTCTGCTGAAAATTTTGTTTTTAAAACCAGTTTTTCACCTTCCAAAACAAAAAAAATTGATCCAGGAAATTATACGAGAGCACTCATTACATAATTGCGCATAACTACACTTATATTGTGCCCACTTTGATTAATTATGAAATCCATTTTTATTCACGGCGACTAAGTTGTGAAAATTAAAAAAAATCCGCAAATTAATATTTTCTTATTTGTATTGGTATATATCAGAGGTGGCCAACCTGTGGCTCGCGAGCCACATGCGTCTCTTTGAAGGATTATTTGTGGCTTTCGATAAATGTACCCGAGTTCCCTTTTAGTTTTTGTGCTATTACATTTTAAGAAATTATTATCGTTCCGTATGTGTTTCAAAATGTCTTTTAAATTACTGAGAACAAATATGAAAGACTAAGTGCAACGTTGTTCAATTCAAGGTGAGTTTTCCATTTCCAATATAATTATGACCCAAAAAGCATCTGGAGAATTAGAATTAATAGAGATGCAAGAAGATCAAGCTCTACAATTAAAATATACTAAGTCGACGTTGATTACTGAGTTTTGGAAATTTGTACCAGAATCGAAGTATCCTGAATTAAAAAAAGGCTGACTGTAGAATTATTTTAATATTCGGAACAACGTACTTATGTGAATCATTTTATTCCACTTTAAAATTCGTAAAATCCAAACACCGATTAGTATTAACTAACCAGCATCTCAAAGAATTACTGAGAAGTGCTAACACCAATTATTCACCAAATTTTAAAGAATTATCAAGAGAAGTAAAATAAATGTGTTTAATTTTTAATATTTAAATTCAATACACATATTTTGTACTTTTA